GAATTTCCTAATATACCAAACCCACCCACGCAAGTCTCAAATACACGACTATTCTTTCATTTCTTCATACCTTGGAACGGAGTAACATAGTATTTACGACCTACAATTATATAAAAAATGTCTTGGTTAAAATTATTGTACCCTTATGGAGGATGAAAAACGAGGGAAGTTTGTTAAACAATAGTCAATAGCAGCCTATCTTTTGTCTTATGTGGACGTGGCACAACATTAATTAATTAGTCTATATGATGAAAACAAAATAATTAAACAAACAAATTACCTTTCTAATAAATGTCGCATATATTGGTCATAGGCTGGAAGAGCGCATGTGTTTCCATTTCATTTTTCTCATCAACGCACCGACCCCCCCCCCCCCCCCTTTTCCCCCACCACGAAAGAAAAATAGATTTTTTCCACATTGCCACGTGCCTTAATTGTGAACTGATCAAAGGAAAAGAAAAAGACAATATAAAAAAGTTTTATTATAGCTCATGATGTATGTTATTGTACTAAATTTTGTTAATCTTCTAACCCTTTGATCAGTATTACGGTTGTAGGCTAGGCGGTAGTTGAGTCTTACGTTACTTTGTACCTTTGTGAGCCTAGTCCGGTAGGGTTTTGTCTAAGAGGGCTAGGGGCAATGTCGTGTCTTACTATTTTTCTTTTCGACGTTGGATCTATTTACTAACCACCGTTTTTGCTTTGCATTTTTCTTCTGCATTTTATGTTCTTATTTTCCTATGATCTCCGTGATGAATCTAATATCCTCTCCTTTTGTCTTCTTTTTATTATCTTGAGCCGAGAGTCTTTCGGAAACAGCCTCTCTACCCCTTCGGGGTAGGGGTAAGGTCTGCGTACACACTACCCTCCCCAGACCCCACTCATAAGATTTTACTGGGTTATTGTTGTTCTAACCCTTTAACTAGTTTGCTACACTAGCTACCTAACATGCATGAAACTTATGGTTCATTATAATCCATGAAAAGGGAAAATGAAGGGTAGTATCGTAATATAAATATTTAGTATCATATACTAAATCATAATATTACCTTAGTAATTAAAACTTAAAGAAAAAATACGTATTCCTAATTAGTGGCATGCCGTTTAAACGCAGGGAGAAAAAGAAAAGCCATCTCGAAGACTTGGACTATTTATTCTATTTTTCTTGTGACAAAATTTATGCACTATATATAGGGGATACTAAAGGAAAAGTTTATGCAAATTAAATTAACTTATTTAAATAGTATCTCCGATTTATTTTATGTGACACCATTACCGTAAGGAATTTATGACTTTAGTTTGGTTCTAGTTTTATATGAGCTGTATCGGAAAGAATAATAAAAATTTTTATTACTTTCTCATTTCAGTTTATGTGACACACTTTTTTATTAATCTGTTTTAAGAAGTATTAGACATTTTTTATATTTAGATATAATTTAACTTTAAATTTTTATTTTACACTTATTGAGAGGTTTTTATAGTTATACAAATGTCATGGTCCAACAAAGCCTTTACTCTTTCTGCTTTTAAGACAAAAAGTTTCAAAAGTATTCTTTTTTTTTCCATTAAACCTCACGCCGAGTCAAATTACGTCACATAAATTAAAATAGAAGTAATTATATATTGAACATTAATAGTATCATATAGAATTTCAAATTTGATAAAGTAAATAAATTTGAAATTCTTCAAATCCGGAAAATGTTTGTTTAATGATACTCCCTCCAGTTCACATTAACTGGTTTTTTAATTGTTGTTACACATAGGAATCCAACTTTTAGCATTAATTGATAATGAAATTAATCATATTAACCTTAATTTTGTTCATTAAAAATACAACAAATACTCCTAGGCTCTTTACTCCAAGAACAACTTTGGAAAAAAAAATTAATTCCTTTTTTATATCTAAAAAAGTCAAATATTGGACCAAATAAAAACTAAAAAATCAACCGAATGACTAATGTTTATAGATTATGTCCAGTGTCCTGGATATCGTTGCAAGATGAGAAGTATAACAGATAAATTGGCGTGAATAAATATTACTCCCTCTGTTTCATATTAAATGAGGTACTTTCCTTTTTAGTCTGTTTCAAAATAAATGACACATTTCTAAATTTGGAAATAATTCAACTTTAAACTCTTCATTTTACCCTTTATGCCCTTATTGAGAAGCTTTTATAGCCACACAAATGGCATGGCTCACAAACATTTTACCCCTTAAGCTTTTAAGACCACAATTTTCAAAAGTCTTCTTCTTTTTTCTTAAACTTCGTGCCGAGTCAAACTATCTCAAACAATATGAAATGGAGGGATGTATTTTTTGTTATGTCTATTGAGGGCTTTTCTGTTTTCTTAATTTCAAAAACTTTTATGAGGAGGTGCATGTTCAGTAACTATCCTTTATACTAGTACGAAGCTGTCATAGTCTAATATTCTTCCCTATGTCCCTTAATGGAAAAACCAAAAAAAAGATTAACTCCACGTAATAATTTTAACTACTTTAACGGCAGTATTACAAAGATAGTCGCAGCCCGGTAAAAAAAATGCACTTTGCGTGGTAAATAAAAATGAAAACCATAAAATCATCAATTACTATGATCCTACATGTTTGCACTTAATTAATAGATTTTTTGAATCTAAAATCATTCACATGTCAGCTTATTAAGTACAGTATATTTTTTTTGTAAATATAAGAAAAAAAAATTGCACTATGACTACATATAATTTCCAATCTGGTCCCCCCCTATTCAAGGCACACTTGATTCTTTCTCATACACGGAAAATACAAGTTTAATCACAGCAATTATACAGATCATAATCACACAATTAAGTTGATGTAGAATACCGGAGAGACATTCAAAGCCGGCATTACTGACCACCGACTCCTTAAAAATCATAGAGATTTCAATAAGCAATAAAAAACACAAAACTCCTTTAATTTCTCAAAGTCAACCTCTCTTCGATCTCTGTACGTATATAAAAACAAAGCACTTCATTCCGAACTTGAAAACAAAAAAAGCCTATATTCCTAAATTTCTCTTACTTTTTTGTCAAAAAATGGGCAACGGCTGCTACTCTCTTTGTCCTTCAAAATCATTAACAATTAAGCTGATCTTTCACGATGGAACAACGAGGATCGTCGCCGGAAAAAGACTAGCCGGAGAGATAATGTTCGAGTTTCCCGACTGCATGGTTTGTCATGCACATTCATTCTTCATCGGACAACCAATTCCTGTCTTAGACATTGATGATAAGCTAAGGAATGGCGACGCATACTTTGTTCTCCCACTTGATTACTTCACAAACAAATTGCTTTCGGCTTCTTCTCTTGCTTCCTTAGGTTCTAATAACACTAATAAAAGAGCTCCAGTTGATTTCAAGAACCCTGCATTTGAATATGTTAAGGGGTCTAATGGTAGGGTTTTGATAAAAGTTGCACCTGAGTTTATGATCAAATTACTTCAACGCGGAAATGAGGATATTGGAGATGAGAATTGTGATGGTAATTTTATTTTATGTAGCACACCGGAGTTGAAGAAGCAATATGAGCAATTGGTAGGGCCAAAAGGGCAAATATGGTCTCCTAAGTTAGAGACTATTTCTGAATATAAGATTAGGTATTCACCTTGCAGGTTGATTGGCTTGGAATGGAAACAAAAAGAATAGTGAATCAACCATTAACATGAGTTCAGAATGAGTGGATTTTATCATATCTCTATATTTTATAGTATATATTTATATATACGCAGTTCGAGCCAAATTAAAAGCAATGGGCTCAAATGAACTCACAAAACATGTCTTAATTGACGTACAGAACTCTTTTCCTCTTCTTTTTTTTTTTTTAATTATTTAGATGTGAAAGTTGACATTTACATTTTCTACTAATTCCCAAATTGTAACTGTATCTAAGGATATAAAAAACAATATCCATTTATATGATGTTCCCAGATATCAATTCCAACAAGTTATAGCACAAAAAACCAACGTAACCACAAAGGGTATATTGATTTTTGCCTTTATTTTAGATTTTTAGTATTAGATTATACAAAACTGACCCCTTTGTTTCAAAGAGCTAAGCTAATTTAGTTTATGAATTGATTTTGTAATAGTAGCAAATTAGTAACAAATGTCATTATATTATTAGGTTATTAGCATCTACCATGCTATGATATACTTAAGATAGCAAACAGAACTTGTCTGAGAGAAACTGAAACCTTGGACTCGGAAACGTTGTTTAATTTTGCAAGAAAAATAACTCATCAGTGGTTGTCTGGCAGAGATGAGCACATGCATATATATGTCTTATGACATTATTTGTGAGTTAATTGTGCAAAGGTATTTTTTCAAATTTAAAATCGGAATTACTCTCCACGAGGTTTTGTATAAGGTAAAATTGATTTACATTAAATTGATCGAATGATAACGTAATACGCAGAACCGAAGAAAGGTAGAAAGCAAATCGTGTAATTACCAGTACCGGGAATAACGGCTGCAATTAACATCGAACAGATCCCGAAGGGAGCATGATCTATGTAAGCATATCAAATGCTTACCGTCGGATAGCATTCAATAAAGAATATTCCCTGGCATTAAATGGGCAGCCGTTACAGAGAATACTTGCATTCATGGCCTGCCATTACATATTCATCAATGGCCTCTTTATTGTCATTTAAGAGGGGCCTGTTCCTAGGATCTTGTTTCCCTACGTATAGCTATAAATAGTAGACTCAACAGCAATTGTATGACACAAAATTCTTAGTAAAACTTATGCTACATTCTATTCTCAAGCTGAATAAAATAACTTTACTTGCTTTTTATATTATTCTTATTTTTGTTCCTGGAGGCACTGCTCTCGAAGCCAAGCTTGTCATTTCCTTTGATTTTAACCGCTAAGTCTTATTTTTAGTCTAGTTTATTTACCATTTTGGATCAAATTAGTTTGATTGTCTATAAACCACGTAACAATTCAATTATACCGTTTTATGGGTAAACAGTTTGACGCCTACCGTAGGGCTTAAACAGTTGCATAATTGAGTCGATCCTTGCGTTTATTACTAACTTGTTCGATTCTTTTGTTTCATAGCAAAAAAATCAAAAATGGCAGCCAACGAAATCAACATTGCGCACAACATTGAGGGACATGAAAATCTACCTCAATACGTGTATTCAATCAGCGACACCCGCAACGAGGGGGATGAGGCAACCCCGGTCTGTGGAGGACAGTACCCACGACATGTATGGGAGCCAACTCTCGATGACGCAGAAGACGAACATGTAGGAAAACAGCAAAGATCTTGAGAGAGCAACAGAAGGCCATCATCAGCCACCTCTCAAGGCGGGACCAGGTCATGACGGAATTCAAGTAAGCATTTTTAGGCGCTTCCAAAAACGCAAATGGAAGAGGACCGGTTCCGCCCGGTGTTCCTGCGAATCAGATGACTCAAAGAGTTGATAACAATACCCTGAGGGGTGAGGTCGGCTTTGACGGTGCGGGGGGGACCGGTAGCAGATATGGTAGCGACAACGGTAATGACACCTTCAAAACTAAACTCATGAGATTCATAAGGGAGATGAACGAGCGGATGGATCAAAATGCGAAAGAGTTACACACCCTAATAGATCAGATTCCGGGCGTACCACCGATTTTAAAGGGCCCGAATTCAAAAAAATATACTCAGTTGCCGTTCAAACCGAGCGAAACACCAGAGCTAATCCCGAAGAGATTCAAGATGACGGACATACCAAAATACGATGGGCTTTGGACCCTCAGGAGAACATCACAACTTACACAATAAAATGGAATGATTTGTCCCAACATGAGATCGAATCGGTTCTACTGGAAAAGTTTAGAGAAATCCTCACGAAGGGGGTCTTGACATGGTATTCGCTTTTACCCGAGCATTCAATTGACTCTTTTGAATTGCTTGCAGATTCATTCATTAAGGCCCCTGCTAGGGCCAGAAAAGTTCAAGCAAAGAAGGAGGATATATTCAGGATCCAAACCGATAAGCTGATAATAAAAGTATGTCAATTTGTTCCCCATCATTAAACCGATAACCCGATACCAATAATCCATTAAGCCACTTTTGCGATTCGGTTTTCGATTTTAGTTCGGTTTTAAACACCCCTAGCTCTCACCCCTCCCTAAAGTTAAAGGAAAGCCTACTCCAATTCCAAGTAACCACATGGGCGGATGTCCATAACAACTGCGAATAAAAAATAAGGATAAAATATGATCAGCTCGGGTTCCCGACATCAATCAAGGGGCAGGCTCGAGACAAGAACCGGGATAAGTTCAAGGATGATTTGAAGCAGACTAGTGATCTTCTAAGTGCCATTTCTTGCCTTGCGATAGAGCCAAGGGACGTGGCAAAAAAGGGTTCGGGTCCTCGGATAGGTTCGCTTTCGAAAGAAGAACTAATCGTGGACAGAATAACAGATACGTGTAAGGAAAAGAGGTATCGCGGACACGGGATTCCACTTATCCTAGGTTGTTAGATTACAATTTTAACATCAGCGTAGTGGAATTGGTATCTGCGATGAGGAATATAGCAATCAACACATAATCACCCACTCAATACCTCTCGGTAATAGAGTGGTTTTGCCCAATTTGGCTTTCTCAAGTCCAAATGGGTAATTCACAAAATAGTTGATAGATGCTCAATGTGGGTTTTACTATCACTAGATTCAACCCTTTAATTGGGACTAATTTCTTGAGTTCACCCCATTTTCTTGTTAGCCAAGCTTTCCTAAACTCAATCTCTCTTTCTCAAGTAGAGACTAAGTCAAATAGGCGTGAATCAATATTTGCAACCATTAATTCTACAATTAAAGCAAGAACTAGGCTAAATATTACACACCCAACCATAAACAAGCCCTAAATCAAACACCCATTAGGTACCCACATTAGGGTTGGGTCACAACCCTAGCTAGAAATTTAGCTACTCATAGAGAAAAATGAAGAAATTAAAGAAGAAAAGAAGATTAATCTCATATTAAAATGATAAAGAGATAAAAATACAATGTAAAATAGACAACCTATCATAAAATTTCCTAAAGAAGTAAATAAAAATGTCTCCCAACTTTCAGATGTTCAAACTTAACCTAATTTTGTCAAAAAAACTATTTATACACAGCTGAAATTTTCAGACAAAATTGCCCTTTCGGAGGTTCTGCGGCCGCACAATTTTGTGTGCGGTCCGAACTTTGATGCAGTTCTTGACAGGAGGGACTTCTGTGGCCGCACAATTCTGAATTGGGGCTGCACTTCTTAACTTTTGCGGTCCGCACATTTTTGGGTGCGGCCGCAATCTTTAGTTCTGCGGCCGCACTCTTTAGTTCTGCGGCCGCACAATTATGGTGCGGTCCGCACTTCTCGATGGACCAAGACTTGGAACTCTCTAATCTTCAACATCTGTTGTCGCATTTTGGCTCATTTTCTAATACTCCTGCAAGAAAGCATATTTTATCAGTTTTCGGGAATACCTTTTAACATTTTCAGCTCAGACGAAAGTAAAAAGGCACAAATAAGTAGTCAAAATCTCCACTTATCAACTCCCCCAAACTTAAGCTTTTGCTTGTCCTCAATAAAATAAGGCAATTCCCACCTCAACAAGAAAATAGCTATTCCAACTATGCTAAGGTGAATCAAACACACATCAATTAGGACCAACAGTTACCCACAACACTTATGTATTATCAACAAGGCAATGAATTGAATATTTAAGCACAATAGTTCTAATGTGATACTAGAGTATCAAGAGTTGACTTTATTCATCAAGGAAGCCCGCTCTCTCATGTAGGTCATTGTGGATTCCAAACTCCTTCTCCTCTACTCTCTGCTAGCATATATCACTTAAGATTGTGGCACTCAATTCAAGGATTTGTGAGAAGTTCGCTCATCTCTCTCAAAAGAATGTCACAAGTACGGCTCTAAGTACCATATGTTTGCCTCTCATGTAAATCACCACTAGTGTAAGTTCAGTCGGCTTGAAATCATGTAGGGCTTTTGCGGAATGTAACGAAGGCTTTTGGACAAAGGTAGGACATGTTGGAATAGAAATGGGTTCATCTTTCCTTAAGCACTCCATTTTTTTTCTCTTTTTGGCTCATGTTTTGCTAAATCTTTGAGTCATTTTCTTTTCCTTAGGGGAACTAGAGAGACTTAACATCACTCTTTCTCGATCATAATGTTCATTATCTCCTTCTTTGTTTTCTCCATGCTTTGCATCATTGCTTTCTTTGAATCCCTTCAACTCTTCACTTTATTCACTTTCTTCTTGCATTTTTCTTTTGTTCTTTCTTTCTTTTTCTTTCCCTTTCCTTTTCTTCATTTCATCTCTTTTTGTGCCTTGATACCACTTTCAAACTCCTCATCTCTCCCCCAAACTTATGTTTTAGCCAATTGCTTCTCAAGAGTGTTAAGGAAAGCTACGGTTCGAATAGAGGGTCACTACAAAACGGGTAACGGCTTGTAACGTGGTTATCGATTGAAAAAAGGTCTTAGGCTCAAATGGGTTGACTAGGGAGAGCAATATTGGTGGGACATGGAAAGTTTCAAGCAGGTCAAGGAGAGCCTACAATCACTTCTCTAGCTAAGAAAAACTTAGAATTTCGCCTAGAAACACATTCGGGGTAAGTTCTGGACCATTCGCACATGTACTTGGACTTGCAATAAAAATCTCACTTCTCACACAACTGGATTGTTAAAGAAAAAAGAGTCGAGGACCCACAATAACCATATTTAAGATTGAAATTCGCTAGTGGTTCAACTAAAGTCAACACAAGAGTCAAAAGGTCACTAACTAGAGCTATTTCTTCCCAAGATTTTTTTAAGCCATAAGGTCGTAGTTAAATGTGTTGGTACCAAGTGAAGCATGCTTGACCCTTTTATTCATTACTACTATTTTTACCTAAACATTAAAAACGGACTCAATCCCTTAAGAAGGT